CCGGAGCATTATAGAAGTTTACCGGAAAGAGAAAGTCAAGTGTCTTATTGTAAACATCAAAGGTACAGCCAGTCCTATGGAACGAAATTTTCAGAACTAGAAAACAGGCCCTATGATCATGATGAGTGTACTATATAATTCCAGTGTAACACCATATATATCTCAAGCGATGGCGGGGAAATCGGGATTATACTAAAAACGCTAAAACACAGCCAACACATGTCCCCGCGTTAAAATGTAACGTAGGAATCAGGTGTCGAGATGTAACTTCTCCAGAAGCATGATCCATGTAGTTTCATTCGAATTCAAAGATGTATGCATTTTGCATCTGTGTGTAAAGTGCAAGTGTATGTGTACTTTCATTCTTGTATTTGTATGGCGCCAGGAATATGAGTCAGCTGGGGGTGGCTGCTCACATTCCTCGGTGGCCTAAGGGTTCCGCCATGATGCCCACGCCCGATAGGGGGTAGGACTCCCGCGTGGTACGCATCGACTGGGGATCGTCCGAAGCTCTTCGGCCGATCTCCTCATTCTGCGACGAACGACGAGGACGAGCGGCGACGAGGATCGAAAAACCCGACGGACCATGCTAGTCAAAATGAATTGAAGAAGGAGCCCACGAGCAACATTCGCGAAACAATCAAAGGAGGGCCGACGTATCGCGCCCAACTGAGGAAGATGGACTACTACAGGCCTATCTGCCGGCCGTTTGTACTCATCTAGCATAAATTCTTTGGGGCGGACAACCAGAAGAGCTATTGTAGCTAAGAACAACATCGTCCGCGACATCAACATGCTTTTAACGGTCTGACCGTTACAAATCCAGCGCGTAGTCGCACCAGCGAGCCCGGCGCGTCCCAGTCTGGAGTTTGCCGTAAAGACAAATTTAATTTCAAATAACGAAAAAAGAATCGTATCAAGGGACTGTTGAAGTGTCTTTCCGTAGTCATATAGGCAGTCAGCGCCCCGTTTGTTGGGTCAACCAACTGAATTTTGCGGTTTCCGTCTCAAACAGCCACTTTTGCTTAAATACTTAAAAAGCTTACTAGACTACCACTGATTTACATTCGTAATGTTCTCCAGTGGTAAATTCGATAACCACATCATCGAATTCGACCTTGGTCTCCTGCATACACAGCACAGCATGCATTCGAGCTAGCGGACTGGCTGGAAGCAACGATAGCCTTTCAACTGTTCTGGTACATCGTGGGTACCAACTGATCAGTCATTTCGTCTCTTTGTTGTCCTTGCTATACGACCAGCCCAGCTTCTTTTCGTATCATACATTTCCTGTGTTACATCTTTCACACTAAAATATAATCGCAAATCATCGCTGCAGTCTGCTGCTATCCATCACTAAGGGTTGAAAAAACGATCGTGGACGAGGCGCAGTACTGGAACACATCTTCAAGCAAAAATAAAACGAATTTAGGGCACATATACGATAGTCCGCACAGTTTTGGTATTCTTCGTATATGCAATAGAAACGTCATACGTCAAATAATTCGTCAATTCGAAATACGGAATAATGGTGATTCAATTGTTTCTCCTCCTGTATTCTCCAACACGACTCATACACCCCACTTTTTGCACTGCGCTTCCCGTAGAATACTCTACCAACACGAAAATGCACTAAAGCCATTGCACACATTGCACATGGCTCATCTGTCATGTATACATCGTATCCGGTTCCCAGGTACTGCAGCACATCACCTGAAATTTAAAACTAAAAGACTTTACTGCTTCGGCTTCAAATTCACTGACTTGATCATACGCACCAATAGCTCAATAACAGTGACCAGAGCTCACAATCCCTGTAGCTCAAAGAATGGTTTCGTCTGCAGACAAACTAGGCAAGTAAATCAATGAACTGGGTGTTCGCAACCTCTGCAGCTTATTAATCAGCGAGCTAGGAAAATCACTGTACCTTGCCAGAAAATGCATCTCCCGCAAAATCATCGTGGAACGTTCTTACTTCTTTCAAAAATTAAGATAGATAACTGGCCAACGCTCGGACTGCCCGTGCGAAGATGCGTTTTTAGCATAGCTCCCCGCAGATTTTTGTCGCTGGCACTGTTTTTTCCAGCATTTCACATTGGCCGTCAAGACTGTCAGGAAACATCCTTTCAAAATTCCTTAAATCACAGTCTTCCAACATTTCAGTTCCTGAGTCAGCGGCTTACCCGGAAAAAATTTTGACGCGCCCGCACGAGAGTGCAACGCACCATTAATACCTATTTGCGCGGGGACATTCCCTTAAAACTCCAGTCTTCTAGCTTCCCAGGTTCCCGAGTTAGCAACTTACCCGAAAACCTTGGCGTGCTCGTAGATGGGTACCACGCACACTCGGTGTCTGGGTGGGAGCTCATTGAGACTTACGTGGACAGGAAATATCCTCCTAAAATTATAGCCTTCTAACTTTTCAGTTTCCCGAATTGGCAGCTTACCCGAAAAACTTCACGGGCCCGTACGTGGGTATCACGCAAATCCGGTGTTTGGGTTTGAGCTCACTGAGACTTACGTGAACGAGGAACACCCACTTAAAACTTCAGCTTTCTAGCTTTTCTGGTTCGCGAGTTAGCGACTTTCCTGAAAAGAACTTTCACGGGCCCGTACGTGGGTACCACGCAGGTAAGGACACCCATTTTGGGGATTGTGGCCCGTACGTGCATGTAGATTAAGTTCCCGGAGTTTCAGCCCTGTAGCTTTTGTAGGTCTTGAGATGAAAGACCGTGACAGACCCACACACAGACAAACACACACTCACACAGACGACCCCTCGTCAACATGCGTCTTCTACATTGCATAACTGCAAAAA